ACACACACACACACACACACACACACACACACACACACACACACACACACTAGCATCACACCACATGGTTGCCAGGCTGGGTACCTGGCATATACTTACGAAGCACTTAGTAAATATTTATTGAAAGGAGGAATGAACCCATCTCAGTCTACTGTAGAACCAATATATGTTCTGGTGTGAACTTGAACTCATTCATCTTACCACCAGTGTGGAAGCAGAGACCATGCTTCTTCCAATCACATGACTGTATGAAGCGGGCTCCTGGCATCTTTCCCTTCCCATCTCCCAAGGCTCCAGGAGTGAACCAAGCGCTAGCTACAGTGTCACACGTGAGGGAAATCCTCCCTTTTACACAGCGTGGATAACCCACTGTCTGTCTTCCTAGGGGCGGGTTCCTACCTCAGCTGAGTTCCTCTGGCTGCTCTCATAGGGCTTGCTTTTGGGAGGAGGTGGAGGAGGGACAGCAGCCATCAGCCCATCGGTCTGCAAAGATGGGGAGCCTGGAAGTGATACAAAAGAGATAGAGTGACGATTTACTCAAGACACCTCATAAAAATAATGCTTGCCGCCAGGGAACCTGTACTAGCCTCATACGCATTGCTGTAGCCATTTCTGAGGTTTCTATGGAAAGAATGGAGAGGACCAGCATGACCACAGGTGCCCTTTAATTAGCCAGAAAGCTTCACATGACATTCTGAAGCGTAAATTCCAACGTTTACTCTTAAGCTGGGGACGAGAACATTTCCTCACTTTAGGAAAATGCTCTCTGATATGCCCTGTGTTTAGCGAAATATATATGCTCTGCAGGAAGCCTCACCTGGCTGCACCAAACCCTTGCCCACTGTCTTTATTTGGCTCTGGCAGATGTGTGCTCCCTATGCCTCTAAGAACCTTCAAGTTGTCGAGCGCTTTATATAGCTGGTCTCAGATTGACAGCAGCATAGGGACTGGGCCTATTTATTAGCCCTGAATGGGTCTAACTAGTCAGTGACAACTTTGTAAGTGCCTCGTGGTTGGAAAGGGACAGGAAGACCCTTAAGGTTGCTACTGAAGTAAGTGCAACTCCAGTCCTTTGATGATAAAACCAAACACCCTCATGCAATTTGTGGCTGGTTTGACTGAGAACTGGCAGGTTCATGGTCATACTCCATTTCCTAGCAGAATGAATCTAGGAGATATGGAAAAACTCACTTAGGGTCCTTGTAGCTTTGGGAGTGAGGGGAGGTGGGCTCAAGGCTGTAGACTGTGGGGGTGAAGAGCTGTGGAATGGTGTCAGCCGGCTGTCCACCAACTGGAGACTCTTTGGCCTCTGGGATTTTCTGCCTGGGCTCTGGAGACAAAGGAAGAAATCAAAAACATTAAACCCTCATGGTAGACTTTGCTCATCTCAATAAACCCAGAACAGCCTTACATGGCGGACAGAAACTAACAGAAGGGCTTAATTCCAAGGGCCATTTGTCTTTCTGTTCTCTAGTGTGTGGGTACACACGCACGTGAGGACCAGGCTGGCTTGGTTATCTGACTCTATCTACTCCTCTCCACTAATACGCCTGAACCCAGAGCTCAATGTTCTGGCTAGTTTAGCCATGCACGGAAACCGCATGCAAGCTGTCATGCCCACCCACTCCTCACACTTCCCTCCTGACCCAGCCCTCTCCAATTGTCACTTTTACACAGCAGACACTCCGGCAGAGATACACACTGGGAATGACACCCAAACACAGATAACTTCTGGTCTGACCACCGGCTCGATTCTTTGACGCTCAGTGAAAGTTGGTCTTGCAAACATTTAACACCTTGGCGTGGCTTATGGAAGAGGAAGAAGCGTCTGCTTTAAAAATGAAAAAGTTTGCACCGACTCACGGAACGCAGTGGCAAGAGCCACAATTCCAAGTGCAACCCACGTGCTGACGCTGTGGGTATGCGATCTTGTGCCGATATTGACTTAGAGACTTGAGACTCTCTGTGTAATGCTTTTTCCCTGCCATCTGTGATGTGACACCACCACGGGCTGCTGTGTCCTGAGACTAGCTGCAGCCAGCCTTCTCTCTGTGACTCACTGCTGTGCAGTGATTGAAGAGGTAATAGTGGAGGGGCAGGCAGTGGTACCCGGCCAGTGTTGGCTTGCACTTGTTTGTTCTCATTCTCTCTCTCTCTCTCCCCCTCTCTCTTTACCATTATATCAGGTTCTGGAGCTTTCTCTGCAATGACTTGTGACTTGCTCAGACCCCAGTCTTTTCTCTTGAACTTGCTAATCCGGTTTTCACTGTCTTCTTTGGGTGGCAGGTCTTCGACTCTGGCACCCGACGAAGCTCTGCGCTCAAACAGTGGTTCCAGGATGGACCTGTCAGCCAGGAAGGACAAAAGTCACAAAGCACTGGTCCCAGAATGATAAGACTTCACCACACCGCACCAGCAAGACCCTCCACTCCATCTTTATCCAACTTGTCAGGTTCTCAGAGTCTAACGATCAAACAAACAACTCAGAGTAAAATGTACAGAAATGAGATTATCATGGGAAACGGAGAAAATATTAGTGAATCTTTATCACCCCTTGCCCCTGCATGTTATGTATTTGTTCTCTTATGGATATATGCACGTGTGTGTGCAGGTCACGTGCAGGCATGCAAGCATACGTGTGAAGGTCTGACGTCAGTACTGAGCATCTCCCTCTATCACTTTCCACCTTATTTTTTAAGACGGAGCCTCTCACTGAACGGAGAGCTGTCAGAGCCTGCCTATCTCCACTCAACCCTAGCACGGGGGTTACAGATGTGTGCTGTCACATCTGGCTTTGATGTGGACTCAAACCCAGGTCCTCGTGCTCGTGCGCTTTCCTGACAGACTCAGCTCCCCAGGCCCCATCAGTATATACTCTCTTCTGGGAAGAGAAAAAGACAGAACCCGTCAGGTCAAAGAGTGACACATCTCTCTGGAGCTCTCCGTAGTGGGTCACAGCTTGTGTGCTGGGGCTGCTGGGCCCGCGTCAGTTCTACCCACACTGACTTGCTGGGTAACCTGGGCACAATCTCAGGTTCCTTATCTGCAAAAACGGGACGCTCGGCACCAATGAGTGTTTTTGAGAAATGCCTGCTAGGTATAATGCTAGATTTCCAAGTCCCATAACGAAAACTGGTCCACTGAAGAATCATGATCAAACACTACACACGGAGGGGAGGGGTGGAGACATGACGTGAATATTTTAGGTGAGGGCAGGTTTTCTTTACGATTCAAAACATAGAAAGAGTAGCCTTTTGTTTGTTTGTTTGTTTGTTGCTATTGTTGTTTGAGACAGGGTTTCTCTGTGTAGCCCTGGCTGTCCATGACTCACTTTGTAGACCACCCTGACCTCAAACTCATTGAGATTCACTCTGCCAGAGTGCTGGGGCTATAGGCATGTGTCACCGTGCCCAGTCAAAGAGTAGCCTGATTTTTAAAAATTAAGACATAACTGGGTATTTCATGAAAGAGACAGTCCAATTTTTTAAATCTTGGTTTTACTTATTACTAAGTAAAAATAAGGTATTTGGAGCTGAGGATGACAGCTTATGCCTATAGTCCCAGCTACGCAGTAAGTGGAGGCAGGAGGATTACTCAAGTTAGATTGGGCAAAGTTTTTGTTACAGTTTAGTACTGAGTTTCATTTCGAGCTAGTCTTGTTTCATCTACATACCCAATTACAGCCGCCCCGCCCTTTATTAAATGACTTGGGAGGGGATGCCTGCTGTCATAGCTACCATATTTTCAGAGGGCATTCCTATAAGACAAGGTCTCATTTTCATAACCACAGTGCCATTATCATGCTTAAAACTGAGTCATTCCCTAATCTCATCAAACATACAATCTTCAAATTTCAGGTGGCTTGACAGAATTAGGATCGGGTCAAGAGTCACTCTCTGTATTAGTTGATCTCCTTAGCAGGCCACTTCTCCCTTTCTTAAGCCCTGGATTAAATATTGTTGTCACCAGCTATGACCCCAAGGGATGGTGCCTGAGGCAGCACTGACATTACTGTGGTTGTGGCCTTCAGATTCCTAGTTCTTCTTTGTAGGTTTTTATTGTTATTGCTTTTAGTCTGGTGTCACAATATTGCTGTCTTGGTTTGCCCAGAAATGGCCCCCACGAGCTCTTTGGTTTGAACATTTAGTCATCAGGGAATGGCGCTATTTGAGAAGGACTTGAAGATGGCCTTGTCAGAGCAAGTTTATCGCTGGAGGTTTCAAAATCCCACGCCCAGCCTGTCTATCTGTCTCTCCCCCCACCTCTGTGGATCAGGATGAAACTCTCAGCCACTGTCCTGGCACCAGGAGTGCCACCATGTTCCCGCATGTCCCCACCATGATAATAGACTGACCAACTGAAACTGTAAACAGCCCTCAATTCAGTGCTTTATTTTCAAAGATTTGCCTTAGTCATGGTGTCTCTTCACAGCAATAGAATAGGAACTAAGACAAGAGATTAGGGTAGCCCTGAAATTTCAGAAATCTTCCTTTCTTAAGCCTTTTGAGTGTTGGGATTGTAGGTATGAGCCATAACACCTGGCTGAAAGTTCTTTGTCTTATTTATTTCAAGGTAATGTCTCCTTTTAGAAGTTCTACCTAAATCTCTTCTCTCTCTAACATCTATCATCTCTCCATCATTTTATCAAATAGCAGCAATATCTGCCTGCCTGCCCGCCCACCCACCCACCTACCTACCTACCTACCTACCCAATACTGTACACGCCTAAATCTTTTCTCACGGTTATTTCCCCATTATTATAGTTTTCATCTAAACAATTTCCTTATATTGCATTTCCTATTCATTCACTATTTCACTTGCTGAACAAATTTCTGTATTTTGATTTTTGTAATTTAATAACATTTCATCCTCACAGAGCAGTCCCCTAATAATTTTTGCTAGATTTAAACTGACAAAAAGAAAAAAAAATACATCAATTGCTGATACATATAAGGGAGTGGCACTCAATATTTATCTTGAAAAAGTACTGGAGTACTGAATTCAGTCTGCTGTCCACTGGTTGGCCGCTGGTGGAGGATGGTGTGGTGTAGACATATACCAGGATATCTGCAGCTAAAGGAGGGGTACTGCATTCTGAGACACGGTGTTTTTTCAAGGCCCAGTAGATGAAAAGATCCACAGAAATAAGCGCAGAGAAGAGCACGCATTTCGGTGCCTGACTTCCTATAAAGAGCTACCCTAGGGGGTTCATAGGAGCCTGAGTGCTCACATCAGTTCTGAGGTGGTACTGGTAGTCAGGAGCAGAGATTAAGATGAGATGTGGAGAGCTGGGAAGACGACTTAGTGAGCTAACTACCTGGACAAGCATGAGACCCCAAGTTCAGATCCTCAGCGCCCATGTAGAAACAGCTGGGCGGAGCAGCGCACACTGCAGGCAAGGACGGGGATTGAGGGATCACCGGCCAGCCAGTCTACCTACAGAGTAAGTTCCAGGCTCAGGGAGAGACTGTGCCTCAAAAGGTCAGGTGGAGAGTAACTGAGGAAGATAGCCCAGCACCAATCTCGGATTTCTACACATGCTTGCACGAAGAGCACACACACACACACACACACACACACACACACTCTCTCTCTCTCTCTCTCTCTCTCTCTCTCTCTCTCACACACATACGTACACATGCATGGAAAACTATCTACTGATGTTTCTAATAAACTGAATGTTAAAAACTCATTAAGATGTTTTGTGTGCATATGCGTGTTGTATCATTTCCTACCTTTGGAATTTTACACTATACTGTTCTCTGAATAATTGATAAAGCAAATTAAGTTTGAAATTGTTTTTTAAAATGATATATGTGATGAGAAATGAAGCTGTGCCTAGAAGGCAACTGTGCTCAGTAGGTGGTAAAAGATGAATTTTTCATTTTTTTATTTTTAGTAACAGCATTGTCAGTGACGTTCCTCAGGAAGAACACAAGACGTGAAGGGGGCCAACAACCGTGAACGACTCTCCTCAACACACTGAGTCTCACCTCGGTGCCCAAGGCTAATATCTCAAGGAACTAGTAGTCCTACCTTCCCCAAGTGCAAAGATCAGCCTTACCCATCAGATCCTGGCCTGGAGGGCGCATTGTCAGAGGAGTTGGAGGAGGTGGAGACCACCGAGGAGGCCACGGAGGTGACAGACAGCCTGCGCAAGGTGGAGGACAGGATGTAGGGCAGTACCATGGAGCCTGCTCGGCTCGGCTTCCTCTCCGTCATGCTGGGTGGCTGAAACACACACACAGCCCCTCAGGGTCAGCAGCCTGCAGTGCGGCCCACGCGGTCTAAGGAGGCTGAGCAGGGTGAGTCTCCAGAACGCTGAATGTCACACTTCCACGACAAATATCATCACCAGGGGCTCACCGACCCCATGTGGCATCCTGTTAGATTTGCTTTCTAACACTGGCTGGGTTCTAACCATGGTGGACGAGTGTGGGGTGAAGGAAAGCTCAGTCTTATGGTCTAGGAACGTGGGGGCAAGAAACACACGTGCCTAGACAGTAGTTGTGGGAGCTACTGTCCCACAATGGAGAAGACTTTAGGTGGTTGGGGGTGGGGGCAAGTGGCACAATTTCACTCAGCATGGCCTCAACCTCAGCCGTCCTTCTGTCTCAGTCTCCCACGTGATAAGGTTACGAGCGTGCATCACCACACCTGGCAGGACTGTACACACTGAGGGCTGGAAGAGGTGGTGGCAAAGGTCCTCTGGGGGAAACTCTAGCGGGGCGATACACTGAGCTCTGATGTAAGGACAGAATGTGCAAGTCAGGGGTTCACAACAAGGCTGTTAGAGAGGGCAAGGTGAACTCAGGGACCAAAGATCACAGCCAGGAACCAGAACCAATGACACCATCAGTTGTGAGAGAGGGCAGGTTGGCAGCGCGCTTGCTTCCTTTCGGCTCCTGGAGGGCGGGGGCGGGGGAGGGTAGGAAACACACAGTGACGTAACCTCCTGGAGTGTGTCAGCGATGGCAGGGAAGTCAGTCAGATGCACCCACTGGAAAAGCCAGCTTACAACCCTCCCTTTCCTCTAAAGGTCTGACAAACCAAACTTTTACCAAAACCGAAAAAGATCTGGAAGAGGTGTAATAATTAGTCAGGGCAGGAAGGAATGGCCAGTGTGTGGAACAAGGAAACTGGTGTGCTCCTGAGTGTTCTTAATGTGCCCCACCCCCAGTCCAGCCACCTTGGTGGAACAGCCATGTGTGAAAATTGTAAACTGGGGGCCCACTCACCCAGGGAATCTGGAGCCAGTTATCTGTGTTTCATAAGTACCTGTTTTTAAGGTCAGTCAAGTTTGAGATTATCTAGCCCAAGGGATGGTTCAAGGTGACTATAGGTGCTCTCCTGCCTGACCCATTTGGCATCTGAAGCCCTGAATGACGTCATGAGAGACTAGGGAAAGCCTGAGGGCCATTTGGACAAAGTTTACCAGAGTTATGACCCCATACAGCTTCTCCACTTTCTCCTTGAGTTCACGGAAGCATGAAGAGAGGCGGTCATGCAGAGGCTTGAGCTGCTCTGTCAGCTTCTCCCCGTGAATGCGCATCCCTTCTGTGAGCAGGGGTATCTGGAGGAAACAGCATGAGAGGAAAGAGAAGCGTCTTGGGGAGAGGACAATTCAGATTTGGAGATTTGGGCAAAGGGGGATGGAGTCCAAGAGGCAAAAAAGGAAGATACAAAATTAGCTAATGGAAATGCCACTCTTTAGCCAAGGGCTTGGGACCTCTGTCAGAGGAACAGACAACCATCCAAAGACTCCAGAGAGGCCCAACTGGCAAGGCTGCTACCACTGAGCACTGGGATAATCACTGGTCTTAGACTGCGTTGATGGCTGCTTTTCCAGCAGTATTTATTAAAATAATAAGGAAAAGAATGCGACCCTTATATGTTAGCAAGAAATGAAATACAGGCTAATAAACTAGATTACAGAATTCCTATGTGTGCCAATGTGTGTGTATGTGTGTGTCTTGCATGCATGTACACGTGGAGGACATGGGACAACCTCTGCTGTCATTCCCAGATGCCATCCAGCTTGTTTTGTTTTTTAAAGAAAGGGTCTTTCACTGACCTGGAATTCATCAACTAGACTAGGATGGCTGGTCAGTAAGCCATGAAAACTGCCCACTTCACCTCCCCAACACTACAAGAGGGTACTGCCACATCCAAGCCCTCTCTCTTTCTCTCTCTCTCGCACTTGCAGAGAGAGCCAGAGCCAGAGAGCCAGACAGAGGGAGATGGAGAGAAAGAGACACAGAGAGGGGTCCCAGAAAGTGGCCTGTAGCTACACTTAAGCTACGGAGCCTGCCTTAGGGCCAAGTACAGCAGATACCCATGGCACATTGCACGCAGTCGGCTGCACGCCTCCTTGGCTACCTACTTGTAAGGCGATGAGTCGCTTGAGGAGCTCCACCTTCTCCTGGTCCTCAGGATGCTCTTGTAAGTACTTTTCTGTAAAAAAAGCCTGAAAGAAGAGCACATGCAAACATTACTTATGACACATTCCCGACCCCAGTGGAGAGGCAGACAGCTTCAAAAGGGAGAAAACCTCTATGTCAACCCGGAAAGGTCTAACGGAAAATCTGTCCCTTTCTCAGGACCACTGTTCTCACACAGTGAGTAATGTATATTAAATAAACTCCTTTTTCTATATATAGAGGACAGCTTCCTTAATCCCCAAACCCATACTATAAGCTGGAGAGTTTCCTCATTTTGTAGGTACCTGCGGCTCAGAGAGGTGACACCTGTGTCCGAGAGCATATAGTGGCCAATAGGAAGCCAGAATGAGGCCACAGGAGTGACAGGCCACAAAGCCTGCACTCTTCTGGGATACTGTGTACAAATGGAAACCAGTACTCCACATGTCAGTCTTCCAGCTCCTTTTTCTATGTAAGCTTCTGCCTCATCAAAGGGTTTCCTGGCTATATGTTTATCTATATCCAAATATTCAGCCACTGAACACGTCCCCTAACAGCTATGATTCCTGTCTTTACCTACACCGAATTCATGGCCTCTAATATAAAGAGCACCCTAGCCAAACCCTATTCAGTGTTACAGAGGCCTTTTCATAGTAACAGATGAAACATCCAGTTAGAAGAATCTGTGGTGAAGCTGCGTGGCAGTCTGAATGAGCAATGCCAGCCAAAGGCCCATGTATTTGAACACTTAGCCCCCAGCCGGTAGTGCTCCTTGGGGAGGTCATAGAACCTGTAGGAGATGGAGCCTTGCTGGAGGAAGTCCATCATTGGAATGAGAGTGGAGTTTAGTCTTACTCCATTTCTTGTGCATGGATGAAAATGTGATCAGCTAGCTTCCAGCTCCTGCCACCATGACATGCCATCCCTTCCCTGCCCTGATGGATTCTATGTCTCTGGAGCCATAAACAAAATAAACTCTTTTTCGTTAAGTTGCTTTTGGTCATAGTACTTCATTACAGCAGCAGAGACGTAACTAATACAAGCTAAAACTATCTTCTGTCCATATAATATGGACAGTTGGGCTAGAGATTCCTGGAAACTCTCTCTATATAAAGCATCTCTACTCTCCCTAAAAGTGGCTCCACTGGAAGTGTGTCCTGTACTCTGGGACAACCCTGAGCTGTCTTCCTCCCAGTGGAGAGAATGGCGGGGCATCTGTCAGCTGTGAAGCCATGGACAATTCCTGTGTAATTCCATGTGCCCAGTCAGAAAGGAGAGTGGCGCATGACCCAAAGGGAGGTCCATTCGTCCTGTGAGATCCAGGGGCTCGACTAACCTTCTCATAGTTAGAGAATCCTCCCATGACAGCTGGGTCCACGATGCCACTGAGCAGCATGGAGAGCGGGTGCACAGAGAGGGACCGGTCCCAGGCATGCTGCTGTACACAGTTACTGACCCTCTCGTTGGTCAGCTCCATGGTTTCTATGGCGTTCTCCAAAGGGCTGATTTCTTCCTGAGGAATACAGAGCAGATGGGAGAAGGACCCACTGTGATCTCCACTGCAAAGACTGAAACAAACCTGATCATTCTTCTCAAGAGAGGGAAATTTCCAGGATCCACAGTGGCATTCAACTGCTAAGATTCTGTGTATGTTTTTCTGTTGGTGCATTACAAAATTTCAGCTATTGAAAAATCTTCCTAGGAAGTGGAATGTTGTAAAATGTGGGTTAAGGAAATGAGTGTTTCTCAGAGCAAAATATCTACACATAAAAATGTGAGAAGAAAAAAAAAATCTAGACCTGTAACAACATTGTCTCTTAGGCAAACCCACCACAGTGTCCGAGATGGATGGCTAGTAGACCTGAGACTCTTCTGTGTCACTGAAAATGGAAAGTGTCCCCTGGAAAATTCAGGTACCTCCTTGGTAAGAAAAAGCAAGTCATCTTGGAATTCCTATATCTAGACCCATGCCTCATCACCTTAGGGTCGATTCGGTAGTTAATGGAAGTCAGAAGAAACAGGAAGACCGAGGTATCATGCTGAGTTTTGGCTGAAAAAGTAGTCACGGGGACTAAATCCCTCTTCTAGAAATTCCTCTTCAAAATCATATTTCCCCAAAAACCAGTACCTTCACTTTACCCACCACTGGCCACATGTACTCCTAACCAAGATTTTATTCCTAACATCTCTACCCAGAAAACATTCTTAAATAATATGACTTAGCACCTACAGTGCTACAGCACCTACAGTATTTGATGAGGAATACATCAAATTCTGGGTCAGAATGGCCAGGAAAGATTTTTCTCTTCCTTTCCCTTTTCTTCTACCTTTTCCTTTCTTTGTTTTATCCGACAGGGTTTTGCTACATTGCCCAGGATGTGCTTTAACCCATGATGAGGACCAGAGTAGCCCCAGACTAGCACTGATCCTCTTGATTCATCTTCGCAAATGCTAGTACAGGCATGTGCCATCATGCCCAGCTCCACAAAATGCCTGGCTCCAAGAATATCTTTTTTTCTCCTCTCCCCTCTGTTGGGTATAAAAATCAGTGTTTGTGAATGCCAAATTAGTGCCTAACATTGCCTGTACATAATCAGCTCAGGAACTTTTTCCCAAATGCCTACTTTATGCTAAGAAGTGTCATGCTGTGCACTGGTTACAAAAGGGTTGAAAATACACAGCCAGCTCAGAAATAGGTAGGGGCACTGGCTCTTGGGTTTTGAAGGCACCCAAATCTAAGGATGCATGAATGCCTTGGTTCCAAAGCGATGTAGTATTTACATATAACCTATGCATATCTTTTCATAAAGTTAATTAATTTATCAGTGATAAGATCTCACTTTGTATCCCTGGTTGTCCTGGAACTCACTATGTAGCCCAGGCTGGCCTTGAACTCACAGAAATCTACCTGCCTCTGCCTCTCAGGTACATGAGATTAAACCCATGTACTGTGCCACCATACATGGGTTTGGATGACTGGTACAACGTAGGGTTATAGTGGTGAACATTACACATTATCTAGGGAATAAGTCTGTATATATTTAGAATAGAGGTAGTCATGCTAGACCTAAATACACAGTATACAATCTACAGCTGGTGAATCCCAAGGCTGGCTGAATTGCTGAGAGGGGAATTATATATTCTGTGGGTCCACTGTAATTCAGAGCTGGCGGAGACGGGTGTATCGTTCTAGTAGGAACCCAAGACTTTCAAAAAGGGTGGGTTAGAGACATGTCTAGAATGTGAAGGGCACAGACACCACTACGGATATCCGCCCAGGGTTGTATGTTCCAGAGTTGGCAGCATGGAGAAGGTGGATCCCACACCAAGCTTGACGGGTCTAACTGAACAGTGAGCAAGAGAACAACAAGGCCAGCCTCCCCAAAATGACCTAATGTCAGTAACTACTTAAATCTACTGAAGTCTTAGTTCCAACAGATTTTCTTAGAGATGGGAGGAGATGGATAAAGGTGGACGGAGGGGGGAGGAGACAGGCAGTGGTGGATAGAAGGTGAAGATGGCCACGGATCAAGGCAGACAGACAAGGGAGCAAATGGAAATACATGGAGGTAGGTGGAGATGGATGGAGAGAAATGCAGGTGGAGAGAAGTGAGAATGGGCTCTATAGTGCACACACTGGCGAGCCACAGGAGGCCTTGAACACAAGAGCACATGAAACAGTCAGTGGGATCCATACTCTGAGGTTGTGAGGAACACTGGCTGAAAAGACCGAGGCAGAGAGGCAATAGGAGACCTTTTTTAGTTGTACCAAGCAGAGGCCAGTATGGGATGAAAAAGAAGGCAACAAAAAGAATGGAAGGGGCTTTGGGAAAGATGACGTGGCGGAGAGGCAACTCTCCAGAGGCATCCCAGTAATGTTTCTGGGCACGGGCAGTATTCTGGGAGGACAGGGGACAATGCTCATTAGGCCATGAAAGAACCATTCTTTGAGCGTGACCTTTCGGCTTGATGTTGTAACATCAGTCTTACAAAGCGACCCTATTACACAAGCGCGCTTTTTCTTTCTCCTCTAAAAAACAACGTCGGCCAGAGGAGGCAAGCCAAGCTGGTGCAGACTGCAGTGGGACCGAACAAAAGCGGTTATTATTTCTGCAGATGGAAAGGCTCCCACGACACACCCCCCGCCGGAGCTACAACTCCAAATGACTCACGACTGAAATCTGTTTGACTTCGAACCACTTGAGGATCCCAGGGAAGGAATAGGCTGTCGTGTACGTGGTCCTTTCGATCCACATGGTCTGGTACAAGAAAGAAAACACAAAATGAGACAGTGGCCAGCGTCCGGGTCACAATTGACCCCAAACCTCTGGTGCAGCTGGGGTGAAGACTCCGTTCTCACGTGTCTTCTAGGGAATGGAATACAACTCTTCATAAAACTCAGGGATCGTGGGCTTTGAGTCTGCATGGGGTCAGTCTCCTTGGGCCCTTTTATTCTAAAGATGGAAACTAGAGTGCCGGGAGGTGTGGGTGTGACTCTGCTAGGGTTGTATCAGTAGCAGGACCAGAAGCACAGCCTGCATCTGAGAACTTCCCTCTAGAGGTTTCCACTGAGATGGCAGCCTGCCTGTCAGTGATCAACAGGTCAAGGTTCTCCAACAGGTGAAGCTTCAACCTGCTGTGTGAGCTGATCTGGGGGAAGCCACTGTATCTCACTAGAAGGCAAACAGCGGCGGGAGAGATAGCTCAGGTGGGGATGGCCTGGCCGAGCAAGCATGAAGGCCTGAGATGGACCCCCAGCACTCATGTGCAAAGCCAGATGTGGTGGCATGAGCTCATAGTCCCACTGTTGGGGAGGAGAGATAGAGGAGGGTCCCCAGGGGTTCACTGGGTGGCCAGCTGAGCCAAGCTGATAAGCTGCAGTCCCAGGGGAAGACCCACTGTCAAAATAACAAAGGTGGGAAGCTCTTGAGGAAGGGCACCCAAGGTTGACTTCTGGCCTCCAAATGCACACGTACGACCCCCACCCCTCTCCCCAGCCCCTCCCGTCCCCCCACAGAAGACAAACAGAGTGGACTCACAGCAAACTCATTTTCTGGGTCTTTTTCTCCTTTCCGGAACGGCCGGGAATAGCTGAACTGTTGCACCTCATTGGCTCTGTAGTAGCTGGGAGAGGACAGAGCGGATGCATTGGACCTCATAGAACCAGCCTGCACCCACGCCTGTGGCACACCTGACTCTGAGTTTTACCTCTATGGCTGACAGGGCCAACTGTCCCAGGAGTACATATCCTGGTTTCATACACATCTTATTTTTTTGTACTTGAAGAGTTTATCTTACAGCTCAATTTTAAAAGGTACGTTCACCCACCACATCTGTGATCCATTTGCATAGCTCTGCCATAGTGCTGTCAATCAATCTCACTGGCATGCCAGCTTCTCTAGAGACAGGAAGCAACCTCAAACCCTGGGACCAGTTAGCCCTCAGTGATGTTTGAGTGGATAAATGGGCTAAAGGATCCTGTGCCCAAGAGAAGTTTAGTTTTCCCTATGTTTCAAACCATGTTTAACTTGACAAGCTTTCAGTGAGAAGTAGGTCTCACAGACTTAACATCCTAAATGAAGTCATGCTAGGTAGCCCAGGCTGGCCTTGACCTTGCCTCTCCCTTTCCTTCCACTGTTATGACAAGCACAGGCGTCATGTCTCCCCCGACTGTTTTCTTTCTAAGAACCCACTTACTTCAGGATCTGCTCTGGAACCGGCTTGTCCTTGTAGCTGGGCGGCAAGCTCATCACAGGCTTTACCGTGAAGCACTGCAGGTCTGAGGGCTTATTAAGGAAAAGGCTGGCACTGCAGGTGCCACAGGCAGGGCGGTCCCTGCTACCACCCCTCATCTCCCTTCAGCAGGCATCAGCGCAGCACTGAAATGCGCCCCTGCACATACCGTCACAATGTAGGATTGTCTTAGGACACCTCATGTGGCCAGACACCTGGCAAACATCCTCACCACATGAGATAAGTGTCAGGAAAGTATTATAAGGGAACACATAGCCAGAAATGCTTTTAAATGATTTCTTTTGGATATGCATTCCCCTGGAAACAGCCAGACTCCAGGGAACCAGAAGTGCTATCTTTAGGTGCTGCTGTTGACGGAGTGAGTCCCTTGACAGGGACCAAGTGTTCTGAATTTATCTTTCAAACACACGGCAAACCTACAAGACAGATCATTCTTCTTCTGCTTTTTTCCTTTTGGTTTTTTGAGACAGGGTTTCTCTGTGTAGCCTTGGCTGCCTGGACTCACTTTGTAGACCCAGCTGGCCTCAAGAGATCCACCTGCCTCCTGAGTGCCTCCTGAGTGCTGGGATTAAAGGCGTGCGCCTCCACATGCAGCAACAGATCATTCTTTTTCTTACCTGGAGGCTGAGATAAGCTAAAACTCAAGATTCCACAACTGGGAAGTGAAGTCAGACCCCCCCCCCAAAAAAAAAACAACAACAACAACAACAAAAAAAAAAAACCAGTGTGGGGGCTCTTGCTTTGATGGGATGAAAAGTATTAGAACAGTTTCTCCTGGCACCCTTACAGAGCAGACATAGCCTGCCCCTGTACATACAGGTTCTGCCTCCAAAGACAGATAACCAAATGAGGCTTTTCTTCTGTACTCCCTCGATACAGACTTTCCTCCTAAATGACACAGTGTGACAACATTTACAGAACATTTACTGAATCTGGAACTCTAAGTCAACAAAGAGGGGTTGGGATCAATGGGTAAAGTGCTTGCTATACAAGCACCAGGGCCTGAGTTCCAAATCCCACGACACCGATGAACACACATCCACATACCATAGAATATGGGAGAATATAGGTAGCCTATATGCAAATACAATGTCATATACATGACTGGAAACACTGCAGATCTGGTATCCTTGGCTTGGTAGACAGGGCAGACTAGGGGGGGTGTCCTGGAGCCATGGTCTGGGAGGATATCAAGGAAGCAGATGGATGGCTGTGCATGGTTTCAAGGTCTGCAACGGAATCCTGGAGTTCCTTTTAGTTGGCCACCTGCCTATAGAGCATATTCATTCCTACTCAACTGTGACTCACTATGTCTTCCCGACAGGCCCCAAAGATTTTTACCCTGAACAGTTGAAGGCAGGGTTGGAAGGCTCAGAGAACATCTGCCAGTGGAGAAGGAGTTGCCTCCCTTAGTTTATTTGGCGTGGCCTGGCCCACCCCAGGGTAAAGAGCCACTGGGCCGCGGTCCCCATGGCAAGGATACGCTGCTTTGGGGATGACTTGATGTCTTCTCCTGGCGGCGTGGTACTGGCCATCTTCTCGGCGTTGGGGAACTGCGTCAGCAACCTCAAGCTGAAGTCTTCTCGCCTCTCGTACTCCTTACCCCGGTAGATGAAGATTTTGTTCTGTGGGCCAGGGAAGCCCAAGGAAGCCGTTAGATAAGAAGGGTGAAGGGTATGAGGAGCTGAAGATAGAGAAGGCCGCTTGCTCCTCTATCGAAGCTAAATCCACCGCCATGTAAGTGGTCAGGGACCATCCTCCACATACCCAACAGCAGTGAGCAGCACCTACCACCTATCTATTGGTTTATCCCTTCTTGCCCCCAGTGCCGGACATGTGAGTTGGGTGTCGACTTTGGTGGTCAAGATTGAGGCTGCTATCCCTACAGTATTTTGGGATGATTAGATCTCCAGTCACTTAAGTAACTACTCCCTGGTTACAAGTCCTTTTTCCTTGGCTATAGTTTATATTTTACATTCATATGTTAATATTTAACTCCCCACCTGGACCCCATTAGCTTGAAGAATCCCTGGAGGCAGAGAGATGTCTACGTAACTTCAGGACATTTCTGCCTCTTCCCAGGTGCGGGATACACACTAGGCAATCAGTAGGCACTTACTGAGTGTGGAGCCATTGCTTTCTCATTAAGCCCTGTTAGGAGTGCAAACGGCTTCCTTTTACCAATTTTTTTTTTGTGTTGTTGTTACTGTTTTTTGTTTATTTGGTCTTTGTTTGTTTGAGCAGTCTCATGTAGCCCAGGCTGACCTCTAACTCACGATTTAGCTGAGGATATTCTGAAGGTCTGATTGTCAAGTGTAATAATTAAAGACATATACAAACATACCCAGTTCACGTGGTTCTGGGACTCGAACCTGGGACTTTCTGCATGCTAGGCAAGCAATCACTCAACTGAACTACATGGCCATCCCATTCTATGTTTTTAAACTTAGGAGTATGAAAAATAATTAATATATATTTTAAAAGCTCAGGTCTGAAAGAGTTCTTTTAAAAATTTTTGTTTCTTAAAGTCTAAAGTCACGATGACAGTATATAAATTTTTTGAGAAGAAACTCTCACAGTTGTCACAACTACAAAAACTGCTTTTCCTTTGGGGAAATGTTTGTGGTCTTGTTCTTGGGATGTCTGATTTCAGAGTTAGCCCTGACTGGAAATGGAATGAGCAACAAAACACATTCATCCACACTCTTCCCAGTTTGGCCTGTGGACGGGGCCAACTCTGCTTTTCTTTCTTTCCTTGCACCTGGGGAAGCCATTGTACAAAGGGTCTGCCAGAATACCAGTGGTGTCAGGGGCTCAGGGTGGAGAGGCCAGCATTCAGGAAGAGGTCTCTCTCCCTGACCCGACCTCCCACAGCGGGAACATAGGACAGCAGCTGCTGCCGCCCATCTGGAACAGAGATAAGTCTCCTCTTTCCCCAGAACCCCACTCCGAATGGCTCTGGGGACCACCCCCCAGGCTCCTCACCCGCAGGAAGGAAGGAAAACCCTGTCCGTAGTACCCCACAGCAAAGTATTCAGGCTGGGGCCTCATGGCCTTAATGATGTTCTCATAAAACGAGGCTCTTTTTTTCTGAAAAACAAAACAACACAGTCCGCCAGAAGGTTACCAGGAAGCTGTCAGGGGGAAGAAATGAAAGAGAAAAAGGTCAGCCCATTCGCTGTGTTTTCTCATGCAACAGATCACAGAAGGTCTTTGGAGACCACCTTGGAGGCAGCAGGGTGTCCCTGTTCTGGGATCTGATGTTTGGGTCTTGGGTCCACAGTGGGCCTTGGAGCCCTGCAAACACTTTCTGAGACCCACAGCTGGTATCTAAACTTAACCAGGCATGTGAGGGAGTGCGTGGTTTGGGTGACTGCCTTGGGCTTGACTGATAACCCAAAGCTGAGTTCCACCCGTTCTGCAGTGACCAGCACCTTAACTCAAGCTGGCTTAGGAAATTAATGAGTGACTTTCCAGCCCCTCAATGGTCGAGGCTGGTAAAGTACAGTTTTCACTAAATGCTCTTGATAAACAGATCTGTACAGAAAAGATTGTTCTGTGATCATGACCACCCAACCTCCCGACCTAAGAGTTCTCTCCACCGCTGTGCATGTGGGTGCTGCTTGTTTGGAAGAGCTGAAGTATGTCTGCAGCTGAGTTTAATACACAAGGCTCAGGAAACTGTCGACGCACAAGACAACCAGAGAGGGAAAAGAAAGGTGGCAAAGACCACTTCGATTCTGGGAGAAACATTCACGGCTTGTTCTGGTATGCACAGTGGCATTCTTGGAGGAAACAAAGCCAGCCTCAAGGATGGGCTGTCCTCTCGTTGTAAAATTATATTTTATTTAGTGTGAATATGTGTGTGTGTGTGTGTGTGTGTGTGTAAGTGCACATGTGTCATGGTCCATGGTCTGAGGACACCTTCTAAGAGTCTGTTCTCTCCTTCCAACATTTGAAACGCGGGGACTGATCCCAGCTTGTCAGGTTTGGCAGCAAATGCCTTTACCCACTGAATCATCCCACTGGCCTAAGATAAGTGAACTGATGACCAGATGAGGTCTCACAGTAGCCAGGACGGGGCATGATCACCCAGGCCCAGGGCTCCGGCCTTCAGGGAAGTCTTCTTTCCCACTCCAACGGGGCTTTCAGAAGGGTTGGGGGTGGGGTAAACCTGGAGAACAGTGGTCAAAGCTTTTGGGATCACACGTTTTTCACTTTAAAGTCAAGTAAGGTTTACTTTCCCACTGGAAAGAGTACCCTTGACCCTGACTGTTCTCACCCATATACCAAACTGTCCACCTTAGCGGCCCTGCTGGCCTGGACTTACCAGGAGACTGCCCAGGCCCTCGTAGTCAAACACTTTGCTCTCGTACGTCTCAGCCAACTCTTTGCTCAGTTTGATGGCTTTCTCCCACATCTTCAGAAGAAGGAAAAGCAGGGTGAGACTAGGACGAGACAGCAGCCACAGTACTCAGCAGCTGCGGCCCCACACCCCCACGCCCCTACACCCCTACAGAATCACTGGGACTAAGCAGCCGGGCTGAACATCTGTAAGGGACCCTGCCTCGATACACCCTTTGATCAACTATTCCTTTCTTTCCTAAGGCTGTAAGGATACCGGGGATGAGTGGACCTTATCTGAAATGCCTGGGGCTACCGGTGTTTCCAATTTGGAATTTTTTTTCTTTTTCTTTTTTGATTTAGACATTACCGGGTTAGGTGCCATTAGAGTCTCATGGAAGCAGTTTGGAGTTTAAAGAGCAAAATACCAACGGCAAGGCAAAAAGAAAGAGAAGCCATTCCTAGGGTCCAGGGGTGTGGGAGTGTGGCTGGATGGGAAAGGAGGCTGCTAGGAGACTCTTCTTTGGGGTGTGCACAGGGTGTGTGTGGGAGGTACGCATACACTCATGCAGGTGAGCAGTCCGTAGCGACCGGAAGGGGCCGAATGGCATGTGGCAGGGAATTTAGCTAAACTTCTCCCACACAGGAGTCAAGACCAGTGACAGCCTCAATGCAACAATTCTGCCTCCGAGGCTAGCCCAACCAGCACCCGAATGCAGCCTTCCCGTTGTTCTGGTACGGTGTGGAGCGTCTCTTAGTAGGGCACTGTCCAAGATACTCACTGCTTATTCCGTCTTTACATTCTCTCCAATAAACAATGAGAATTCGAAGACAGACAGGGACTAACAATAAGGCCAGGAGGCAGTGTATACAATGTGATAACGAACTGGTCTATTCTGCCCCAAGCCCTTATCTCTTATTTAGGGAAATGAAGTTTTTTGCTATTCCTTGTGCATCCCTTGTAGGCTCCAAAATCTATGCTAAAGAGATGACTAGAGATAGCCCTCCCCTGCTCTGAGCAATTCAAGGGCACTCCACAGCTAGAGTCAGAAAGAGGGCTCGTCATGAGATTAAAGAGTTGGAACTACGCTGGGCACTGTGGCTCACCCTGAAATCCCAGCACTCCGGAGGCAGAGGCCGGCAGATCTCTGTGAGTTTGAGGCCATCCAGGTCTACAAAGCAAGTGCAGAACAGCCAAGGCTACACAGAGAAACACTGTCTTTGGGGGGGGGGGGGGGAAGAGCTGGAACTATAAGCTGGTCAGTGTGGCTCACCCAGAAAGTCTAGCACTCTGGAGGATCCCAAGTTCAAAGTTAGCCTGGACAATGTAATAAAATTCTGTCTCAAAAACACCAAGTAGAGCTACATGTTCTCAGCCTTGATTCAAGGGAGGCAAAGGGGACCAGAGTTTGAGTTCAGTCATGTAGTTAACACTTCAATCATGCCTATGTTATGACAAATTCTATATGATTCAAACACCCCCCCACCCTTAAGGCTGCTTTTGCTATGTCACCCCAGACTGGTCTCAATTTCTGAACTCAAGCAATCATCCCGCCTCAGCCTCCTGAGTCACTGGAATTGTGGGTGTATAATATTTGCATCTAGAGGACACTTCACTATTCTAGAGAGAGAGAGGACACTGAACCTCTAAACCCCCTCCAGAACCCACACGGTATATTTCATCTTGGCCAGTCCTGATTTGTACAACACTGTAGCAATTAGTTCTAGCAATCTCCAGAGTTCTGTTATCAAGCCTGAGGGAGCTCCCCCTCAGCTACTCAAAATTTCTAGCTAGTTCATCAGAAGTGTGAATGATCTGAAGCCTGTCACACTATGGCTGCCACCGTGAGTGAGTGAAGGTTGTACATATATATACACATATACACATATACATGTAAAATATATAAATTATACATAAATAAATATAAATGTATCATGTATAATTTTTTACTTATATGTGATTGTGTATATGTGTGTAAGTGTGGGAGGTATCCACACGTGTGTGTATATATATATGTTGGAGTTATGTGGGTATTCTTGCCCGTATAGAGGGCAATGTTAGGATGTCTTTTCAAAATCACTTTTTTTTTTTTAAATTTTTCTAGGCAGGGTTTCTGTGTAGTCCTGGCTATCCTGGAACTCACTCACTCTATATATCAGGCTGACCTCTAACTCAAGAGATTGCCTGCCTCTGTCTCCCAAGTGCTGAAATTAAAGGCCTGTGCCACCATGCCCAGCTCCAAAATCACTTTTGTGCCTTGTCTATATTGAGACAGGGTTTCTCCCTAAACCTGAAGCTTACCACTTTGGCTGCTCTGGCTGGCCAGCAAGCCCTGGAAAGCTTACTGTCTCCTCTTCCTGACACTCCTCTTCCCATGGCCTGCTCTTATATGTGCATGCTGGGGACCAGTACTCAGGTACTCACTCTTACACAGCCAGCACTTTATACACTGGCCCATCTCCTCAGCCCAGTCATTTCGTTGGAGACAATTCCCTTACTATGTGTGTTCTCGGCTGACTCAGCATTAGAAATGAATCAATATAGTTTTCTTTTTCTTTTTTTCCTTTTTCTAGTAGTACAAAACCAACAAACCCAAAATAAAAAACAACAAGCAAGGAACCCCACACTCACTTTGCCTTTGTCAAAATAGGATATGATCTCTTGATACAGTTTCTCTTTAAGTTCCTGCTGGGTATAAACGTAGTAGCTGTCCCGTTGGAGCAGATGGGGCACACAGGGCTTGTCTGACCACTATGGAGAAAAAAAGCAACCCAGCGATTAGTGAAGCAAACCTTCAGACCAAAAAAAGAAGTCAGGAAGTGACTTTGACTTGTTTGCATGTAGTTAACTCATCCATATTGTGTTTTAAGTTATTTACTAAACACAATAGTACCTACACACAGAGGCCCATATGTCAGCTTTGTTCTGAAACTAGTGTCGGCACCAAATGGCCTGGCCTGGCCAGGCACCTGCGGCATTCCCCGGGAAGGGAGGCATGGAGAGTGGCCACTAAATCGGCGCAATGGAAGGCATCCGGAACACAGTCAGAGGAGAGAAACACGCTGGCTCTACAGTCACGCGGGAGGAGGTTAAACTATCACTGTCTGTAGACCTTTCCTTCACCACAGTGCAAAACCACAGACAGACACAGGTTGAGGGATAAGACTCAAAGGGATTAAAAAAAAAAAAAAAGGGTCAGGATGGACCTGGCCATAAAGACAACAGCCACAGAGAAGACAGCAGAGGAAAACTGTCCATCGAATGAAGCCCGTCAGACAATCCAGACATCACTAGGATTACACAAGACTTACACGCAGGGAGCCTGAATGTACCACTCAAAGGCAGGGCTCACTAACACTTTGGGAGAGGGGCAGCAGAGTCCCACTGCTCTTCTTTGGTGGTAGTGTGAATTGAACTGGGCCTTTGCGCATGCTAGGAGTGCAAATGAGCTACAACCCCAGCCTTATTTTTGCATTTCTAAACTTTTGAGACATGGGGCCTTACAGAGTTGCTCAGGCTGGCCTTCCAGGCAGGATGCTCCAGCCTCAGTCTCCTCCAGCTGGAATCACATGTCTATCCTACCGGGCCCTGCAAAGTTAGGGCCCTTCCTCCCTCCTCTTTCCTTTCTGTTCTCCTTCCCTCTCCTTCTTCCTTTCCCCACTTCTTTTCTGGGCCTGCAAGCAGGGGTATGAGCATGCCAGGTGAATGTTCTACCACTGAGCTCTACCCTGAGGGTCAAGTCATTTGAAATTACAGGATTCTAAAAGCCAGCTGGAAAAGATGCGAAGGAACGGGAAGCAATACCATTGCAAGCGGACAATGAGGAGCAACTCCAGCAGGTGATAACACACTGTAAGGAATTAACCACCAGAACAATGCAACACTATTGCACGAACAGAGGCCCACATGCAAGAAGATACTAGAACAAGACCTCCTCCAGCACAGAGATAAGGCTGGGATCTTTCTTATGCCAGTGAATAAAATCTAGACCATATGTAACAAATCCTGTCTCTGCTGAGTAGCTAGCTGGGGAAGAAAAGCTGACCCACCCTTCAGACCTTACACCAGATTAGGACAACTTATTTTTCTATCATTTTTTTTTTCTTTCAATTTTTTGAGAGATAGGCTTTCAAAATGATTACAGGCTGTCCCTGAAGTCACCACCTCCATCTTCCCTGTCCAGGCTTTCTAAGTGCTGGAATTATAGGCATGCACTACCATGCCCAGCTCGACAGTTTAATTTTCTGGGCAGCACAAATAAAAAGACCTACAGGGCTCGTCACTGGGGAGCATTGTCTGGTGATATCCACAGGCGGCACACATCACAGATGCAGAAAAACCTGTAGTGTCCCAATCTTGAACACGGCTACAGATTTCCTTGGGAAATGGAAAGGCGGGAACTCTTGTGTTTGGCTGCTGAGAATGATGCGTGACCCTATCACTTTAGAATCTAAGAGAAAACTAGCTGTTGGTTCTAATGATGGAAACCAGAAGGTCTAGTGAGGGGCCACGATAGAGCTTCAGGTAGATTTCCTAGAGGCCTAGACACAGACGGCAACAAGGAATTATTATTATTATTATTTATGGATTTAGAACACATCCCAGACAGATGAGAATGTAAGAGGCAGTGGCCAAAGGTGAAGAAAGAAATTTGTCTATGAGGTTATCATCTAAGCGACTGGGTAGATGGAGGCGGTCAGAAAGAGAAGGGGAGGAACAAAGAGTGGGAACAAAAGTTTGTGGTTTTGACACGTTGAATTTGAGTTATTATCCATTCAAAAACTGATGCTCATTCAGGAATCCAAAGGAGAACAAGGCTTTAAATAATTACCTGGGATTTGGGACAAACACTGATATTAGGCCCCACTATCATTTTATTTAGAGGTTCAATGGGAGATACAGGAAAAGTCCTTCCTCCAAGAAGTTTCTTCACTTGTAAGTCATCTGTCTATACTTTTACTAATCTCTTCACACAGCATCAATATGTGTTTATTTAATTAGAATGTCAATCACAGAGGCTGAGAAGTTGTGCCCTGCCCCCTAAGGAGCTTTAAAGGACCAAGTCTTGATCCCAGTCTTGATCTGAAATGTGACCTTGTTTATCCAGAACGCACGAAGAACACATTCCTAGATAAACTATTCCCCTTGAAGAAGGTCCTTTCCTACACAAATCATGAGGTTCGCAGAATGTAGTCCCAAAGAACCCATAGCGTACAACATGAGTCTTCTACACAGGATTCATTTACCTGCAGAAGCTCGGCATGCAACAGGAGTGTGTAGGCAGCCTCTGTGTAGTTCTCACAGTCTCTGTGCAAATCTCGAAGCTTGTACAAATACCTGGTAAGGGGGCAGAGAAGAGGCCCTCATCACCAAGGATGTGAGCTAGCTCTCAGAGCACATCCCAGCCTGCACGGACTTCTGCTTCTAACAGGAACACCTCCCTTCTCTTAGACAATAGACCTGTTCCCTCCCATTTCTCTAACACACAGTACCACTTCCTGCCCAGTGGTTTTCTTACTCCTTCTATTTTGTTTTCTTAATATTATTATTATTATTAGGCATTGATCCTCTCTGGATCGTGAGGTTAAAGCTTTGGGCATTCTGTTGATGACAAGTTAGAGACTCGTGGTGCTCAGACGAAGTGCCACCCTGGGTTATTTCTCCTTCTGTCCCTTTGAGTCCCTTCTGTCCCCCCTCGAATGCTGATGTGACTCTATTACACACTCCCTCAGACTGTACTTGTCTACAGCTCTGCCTGGAGAGCTCACCCCCTGAGGCTTACTATGCACATCCTGTATTTGTAGGAGTCTATCAAGGCAGCAAATGTTGCTGCAGCAGTATTTTCTGGTCTAAGAATACACCACAAACCCATGTCAAGAATAACAAAACCAAGGCGCTTCCTTCACTTACCTTATGTATATGTCCTCTCGCTTCTTTTCTTTATAAAAGTTCTGCCAAAAAGAAGGTCACAAAATACCACCACAAATTAAAGGCTGTTGATGAACTTGACACAAAAAATACCCAAGGCATGATTGCTCCTTTATTTTTAACTTTAAGAGTGTACGAGTAAGCACTAAGCATGGTGGTGTTCGTCGGCAATCCCAGCACAGGGAGGCAGGGGCAGGCAGGCAGATAGATCTCTGTGTGTTCGAGGCCAACCTGGTCTACAAAGTGAGTCCAGGACAGCCAGGGCTACACAGAGAAACCGTGTCTCAATAAACAAAAAGGAAAAAAAGTATGTAAATGCGTCATGTATATGTGTGTGTGTGTGTGTGTGTGTGTGTGTTTGCCCTCAGAGGCCAGAAGAGGGCATCAGATCATCTGGAACTAGAGTTACAGGCGGCTGTAATCCAACTAACATGGTGCTGGGAACCAAACACGTCTACTGGAAGAGCAGCACACACAAACTATGAAACATCTCTACTCCAACTGCTGCTTTTCAGTACTGTCTCTTTTCCAATGAGACACCATTAGGTCATAATTGTCTTAGACAATAATTAGGCATTATTGTCTCCTTTAAGAATCTCCTCCATAGAAGCAATGGGTTATAAAGACGTTGGAGGAAATGAAGGTCATGCCCCTGAGAAATGTGAGAGCTTTTCTATTGGAGCAGCAGGTGCGTGTCTTATCCTGAAGCCACCTGGGACACTTCTTTCTCAGATAGTCAGGGAGGTGGGATGAAGCAGAGCAATGCATAGCAACTGACACCTTGGAGGTCTGTTGTCCCAAGAAGAGGGAAGGCTAGAGTCTTACTGTCAAGTGACTAACTTATTTCATGGCACAGGTTCCTGAACACTGCATCACAACAGGAAAGCGAGCGCGTGTAAGACCAAGAGCCAGGCGGAGATGGCCTCTGGGAAAGGCTAGAGTGTCAAGGTTGCACCTTTTGCACCTGTTCCCGGATACCTGACGGTCTGTGCCTACTATCTGTGAGTGTGACTGAGTAGCACGTGGGCTCCATAAAGATGCTCCAGGTGGCAGGCGCTTTTGACTTAGAGCTGAGTTGGTGGAGCAGGGCTGGCTTAGCTGTGCCCACCCACAGGCCCAGGGACCAGGCCCTTACCAGAACGTTTACTGTACAGCTCATGCGGTTCTCCTTGCTCTCATCATGCATGATGATGGTTCTGTAGTCCAGCAAGTTCTCTAAGAGGCTGCTGACCAGGAGGGCAAAGACTTCCCCAGAGCTTGAGAGGTATTTATGCTTGCGACAATGTTCTAGGAGTCTGGAGTGGGGAGAGAAATTTTCCATGGTTCACTGAGCTACTTTGGCACCATCTGTGAGACTCAACCAAGTCCTAGCAGCCTAGAGGCTCTAGACTTATAATACACATCCTCTGTGGAACCAAGGGTGCTCTAGGACTTTCAACAGGGTCCAGGTTAGACCTACTATTTTCTCAAGTTTTACTCTTTCTTGGGGACCCAGTCAATTCCCATCACTGTTCACAACTCCAGCCTAAGATGTCCTCTGAGCATTAGTTGATCAGGAGTTTCTTTGGTGGACGTTGCAGAAATGAGAACCCTTGCCTACAACGTTCACATACCCTCACCATTCTAACTCAGCTGTATAAGAACACCCGTCCTGTGTCTTTGCTCTCCCTAGGGCCTAGCATTCAACAAGAAGTCTGGAAACCCCAGGTTGAAGCCCTCCAGAAGAACCCAGAAGACATTTGGATGGGTCTTCAGATAGGAGGCAGAACTATGGGCAGGCAGACTAGGGCTACACTTCAGATCCAGCCGTTCCCTTCAGGGGCCATGGAGAGCAAAGTTTTGGGATTTCTTAGGTAACTAAAAGAAAATTCAGAAACAGAAATGGGTCTGAAGAATTAGTCCAGACTTGGGACTGGAGAGATGGCTCAGTGGTTAAGAGAATCCACTATTCTTGCAGAGAACCTGGATTTGGTTCTTCAGTATTTATTTTAGGGAACTCACAACCACCTACAACTACAGCTCTTGAGAATCTGGTGTTCTCTTTAGAAGGCACCTGCACTCATTAGCTCTCTCTCTCTCTAAAATAAACATTAAAGAAAAATAATTAGTCCAGATCCCAGGAGTATTGTCAGTTGCTGGAATTGATGCACTCATACTTTTCAGAGCCAATGATCCAGAAAGAACAAGGGAAATAAAGTAAGATCTCTCCATAAAGGAGTAGGGATTTTTTAAATGAGTATTTTATCTTGTGTATAGTGGGGGGGGGGGCAAGTTGCTTTATTGCTGAGCTCTATCTTAACAGATATTTTTTGTTGTTGTTGTTTGTTTGTTTTTAAAGCAAGATTCACACTATGCAGTCCTGGGTGTCTTGGAACTCACTCTGTAGCCCAGGCTGACTTTGATCTCACAGAGATTCTCCACCCTCTGCCTCCAGGGTGCTGGGACCAGGTGCCACCACTACTACCCTACTACCCCCAAATCTTATGTCTGTTTTCATCTGTACGTCACTTCCAGACAAATCCAGAATTTCAAAATCTGTAAGCTACGAGGGTTCAAAGGTCATGAGACCTCATGGAAAGAGGATGAAAAAAAAAATCACTTTATTCTGTTTGTAAACAGAACAAAGACATGTAGTTTTTTAAAACGAAGGCGATTCCACTATCCTATTCCACTACCATGTATTCATTATGCTGGCTCCTTCTCAGAGAATCTTTAAGAGACAAGATCCAAGTTGGCGGTCCTTATATTCATGCTCAGACTGGTCCAACAAATTTCTCCCAAACAGGAGAATAACCAGGTGACACTGAGGAGAACCAAGATGTGACAGAATTGGCCAGTTATTAAAGTTCAGAGAACCTGGGAAACCAATGTGCACAGCCATTTGCACAGTGGTATGATTAGATAATAAGAATTGCAGTCAATCTGTAAAGCAAAAATCTGTGTGCATATTTGTGAATAAATACACGTTATAGAACACGTGTGGCGGGCAGGGACGATGGATCTCAGGAGTCGGTTCTCTCCTACCACATGGGTCTCAGGGATGGAGCTCAGGCAGTCAAGTTCCACCGCTGGCTAAGCCACGTTGCGTGAACTCTGCAAGGGACACTATGTTGACACACTGACTCAATTAGTTCTAACAATAAGACTAAAAAGTAGATACTACCCTTATAGATGGGAGGTGGGGAGATTGTATCTCACTGGCTGCAAAGACAAGGTCAAAGAACGTGGGGAAAAAAGAGGGTCTGGACTTATTCCTGCCAGTCCCAATAGCCAAAGCCTTTAACCATACTACAGGACCCTGTGTATAGTATGAAAAGGTTGAGTGTGCAGAGGCTGAGCAGAGGAGGCAGCAGATGAAGGGACAAGGTGGGCTCAGGTGAAGGAATGATGCCTTTCATGGAGTCTAGCAACCAAGATGGCGGAGAGACAACTGCTCTGTTCTCAGATGGCATGTGAGGTACGTTTAAGTATAAAGTCCACCTTGACTTCTTTTAAATGGCTGCTTTGCAGCCACAATTAGAGGTGCCCTGCTTTTGCTCAACTTCATAATTAAGACCCTGGGCAGGATCCCACTGCTGTGTATGTAGCTCCTCCTCTCACCCATCTGCTCTGTTCTCCGGGGCCGGGCAGGTTGGAAAACGCAAGCATGGACTCCCACTGGGTAAACACAATCAGTGAGTATTCCATCCACAGCACTGAGGACCACTGGGTGATGGCGTGACCGTGAGCTTGCTGACCTGCTGCTGGGTGGATGGCTGGAGCCTGCGCGATACTCACAGCTTTTCCAGAAGCACCTTGTACTGTTCATCTCCTCGGCCACCTTCCACTTCCTGATCCAGCTTTGTGATCAGCTCATTCTCAAACTGGAAGAGAAGACCGAATTTCACAAGAGAATGTCAGATCCTAAGATGAGGACGTGGTAGCCAGTGGCCAGTCCTTCCAGAACGGGCTCAACTGCTTTCCAATTGCAAACTGTTTCCGAAGTAGATGGATCTCACCCATTCAAACAGTACACTACCACTTAGCAAAACATTCCTGAGCAGGTTAGTGTAAAAGTATCTGGCTTTACATTTGCAAACACACCTGAAAAGCTGCTTGATGTTACTGCTACGCATATAAAATGAATCGACGACCACTGTCTCCTTTGTCCATGACCCAGCATTTTGTTATGTAGTCCTCTCTGGCTACAAGCTCATGACAATTCTCCTGCCTCAGACTCCTCAGTGCTGGGACTACAGGTATACTTCACTATCCTGGGCTTCAATCTTTTTTTTTTTTCTTTGCTTGAGTCTTAGTGATGGGATTGCTTTGGCTTCGCATTACAGCTACAGAATCTTCTTTCAGTACTAGCAGCCTTGTAGACGTTGTGGATGTGAAAGCTGAGGCAACTTGGTTATTACTTTGGTCTGGCTGGGAATTAGCGAGGAGAAAAGTAGGTGTGTGAGGGTATAAAGAAGGAACACTCTCCCCAAAAGTAGGCGGTCAGTCAGATGTAAAAAGATGTACCCTTTGCCTGCTGTTGCTTCCTCTTCTGGGGAGTACATGTACCCTCCTGTTGCCTTCACTACTTGTTGTTGCCATGACTACCACCATCTTTGCTGTATAACAGGGCTCAGCTTCTTTGACCTTCCAACGTGGATTGAAGACCAGAGGCTCTTCAGGAATCCTCCAGGCCTTCAGCTCTAGATTGGGGCTGCTGAAGCTCCAGCACTGTGGGCTGAGCAGCTACGGGTTCTCAGCTTCTCCAGTGTGCAGACAGCCTGCACTACCTAGCTTGCATTGTGCAAACCAAGGTAATAAATCTATTTTGTGATCTGTACTCAGCGTATCCATTCCGTTCCTCTGAAGAACCCTCACTAATGCAGTATACGGTAAGTAAGTAAAGGGAGGTCTAGACAAAGCATGAGCAAACTAATGCTCTCAAAGGCAAGCAGGGATGGATGGGAGCTGGACCCACAGCACCCTTCCCTCAGCTGGTCACACATGACACCTTCAGTTTTGTGGAAAGATGTACCAAGGCCAACTCTTCAGCTTCTTGAGACAGTGCTGACTTAAGGAAGATATGGAGTGTAGAGATTTCTTCTAGCCTCTGGGCCAGAAGACCCACCCGAACGTCCAATTCGTTTACAAGTTTTAAAACGCGTTTTTCATCGAAGCTGCTGCCTCTCCATTTAGAGAGACGGCAATCAAAAGCTAGCTTTTACGGGGAAGGAAGCGCAGCACCTGCATTATTCTTACCATATGGAAGTTGCCATTTCCACTCAGGTTGAACTCACACTGCATCATATCAAAGAAAATGGGGATCGTGGCTTTACGGAGCTCCACTTCTGGGGTCAGAGTGACTTCTAGAATGGGACCCACCATGGATGGGATAAATTTGATTTTGTGAGGCCCTGGAATGAAAGTAAATGAGGAAGTAAGAAAATGGCGCCACTGTAAGCCCCACGCTAACGATCTTCCTCCAGAGGGCCCATAAGAAAAGAAAATGTTCATGTGGACACACCCTGTCAATCAAGTAATAACGGCAGAGTGCTGCCTTCTGATGGAGTCGGGATGGCGTGATGACAGGGGATGCACTATCAATGCCCTAGGTATGATGGCTATGGAGCAAGTCTACTTTACAGACAAATCTCAGGGTTATGAGAGTTAAAATAAGAATCCATCATGGGTGCGTGCTTTCAATGCAACCTGTGCTGGGAAATCTTCCCTTTAGAACAAAAATGAAAAGGAAAGAATTCATGGAGGAACCTGAGCCTGGTGGCACCCGCCTGTAATCCCAGCACTCGGGGAGGCAGAGGCAGGAGCATCTCTGTGAGTTCCAGGCCAGCCTGGGCTACAAGGGGAGTCCTGGACAGCCAGGGCTACATAGAGAAACCCTGTCTCAAAAAACCAAAAACATATCATGGAAGGGGCCAAATGTTCAAGGTCAGACACTCACCCAGGTTATACCACATGTCCCGGATCCTAAAGCCAATTTCCTTTCTCATGTCCCCGTACCTAGAAAGAAGATCGTGAGAGAAGGATTTGCAGTGGAACCGGGTTGCATGAAAATAGTTAATCCCTCGGCACCTCAGGGGCTGGCTCAAGCCTCCCAGACCGCAAGGTCTGCTCAAGTCCCTCACACAAACTGGCTTATAGCGATTTTGCACATAAGCTATGCATAGCTTCTGCTGCACTTCAAATAATCTTAGTTCGATGACTCAGAGTATCTAGTACAAAGTACTGGGGATGTGGTTTATTGAGAGACTATTTGCCTGCCACGTGCAAGCTCCTGAGTTTGATTCCCAGCACCACACAGAAGGGCCAGTGGATGAATGCCATGAAAGGATGTTTTCCAGACATGACAGGGTCAATGACACATGGCCCACTATGGCTGTGTGTGGGAGATCTAAGACTCAGCCAGCCCAAATGCCAGCATGGATGGGAGGACGGGGTCACCACCACGTGCCGCCCCTAGCAGAAGGGCTGGTGGCAACCGATGGCTGCTGGGAGTGAGAGAGTGTCGGTTTTCTTCAGGAATGACTACCATTTTCCAGTAGATGGACTTATACCCATCCACACACAAGGAAAATTAAGTGGGCTCAGGAGGGGTTTTAAAACCACAAGAAGATGGGAGGGAGAAGTGTATTATGGGGGGGTACATGGAAGGAATTGGTAGGGACAGAGTGGGGGTGGATTTGATTAAAACACATTATGTGTGGGTATGAAATTCTCCAGCTGTAAGCTTAAAAGGAGGAAGAAAATACCCAATGTAACATAAATGTTATGTAAATATGTTACATCAGATTCACTGGAAATAAAGACAAGACAAATGTCTGTACTCATTATGTAAGATGCCATTTCCTGTCAGTTGTTTTGGCCAGTTTGGGTGGTAGATGCAGAGTTGGCTGGTGTGGAAGCCCAAGTACACAATGACAGGAGTAATAGTCCCCATCCCCTGGGTCACAGGTAAGGCTGGGGCTCTGTAAGAGGTAGGGTCAGCACCCAGAGAAGCTTCAAAAGAGAACTGAGTCACATGGAGGACAATGGTCAAATGCTGAAAGAGAACCGAGAAGGTGCTGTCGACTGACCACTCAACAGAGAAAAGCGGGAGAGGCCCTGGTCTCCACAAAGCAAAGAGACAAACAGCCAAGAGAAGAGATAAATGAGGCCCGTGATAGATCAGGCACCATGACACCTGGTAACGAACAGGCTGTGCTGTACACTTAGGCCCCAGCTGAGGTCGGTCCTCACCAGAGTACTCCTCACAGATCTCATGGGGTCATCCGGACCATGCATTCTTGGTTGGGACAATATAACCCACAGAAAGTTTAAAAACTAGTTTTGTGGTTGTGGCCATGTATGCCTGTACTCCCAGGAGAGACTGAGGCAGGAGGATGGAGAGTTTGAGGCCAGCCTGGGCTACATAGTAAGGACCCTGTCCTGTGTAAGGGCCAATTCTAAAAGTGCAAGTGTTTCTGGGAAGCTAACACAGGTCACACCTGGTCCTATAATCTCTGCCCTACACTATTCCCCTCATGCTAGGGACCTCCAACATTATTTTTTTTTTTTTCAAATTCTTCACTGGAAATACCTTCAGAAGCCAGAATTTTTTGAGTCATATTTTAAAATTCCCTTACCATTCCATGTGAATAACAATAGTTAACTTAATTTCATTATTAATATCAGGTAACCCTAGGTGACTAGGTATCAGGTTTTAGCCTGATACCTACAACCAACAATGTCTATTTATTGGCATATGATAGGCTGATTTCTACTAAAAACAAGCATGAGGAAATATGACTATAACTATAATATGATATAGTCATAATCTCTAATTATAATATAATTTGTTTTACTTCTCAAATTTTATTCCTGCTCATATGCACATATATTTTTTACATGGGTTATATCCATAGTCTATTTTTCTTTGACAAAAAACCAGAATCAATACTTAACTAAAATTATTTTTTTTAAGAGAGCCTCATGTTACTCAAGGTGGCATAAAATTTTCTGTTACCAAGGTTAGCCTTGAACCCCCGATCCTTTTGTCTACCCTTTCTGAGTGCAGGGATTATAGGCTTGTACCACCACACCCAGCTCCCCACCATCCCTTGGCTCGCCTGTCTCTATCTCTTCCTCCCCTCTTCCGCCCTTTTCCCCCTTCCCCCTCTGTATGTGTTTCTAACTTGTAAGCAATTATCTTCATTTGTAGCTGCTTAACCCAAATCAAATCCCTCCTTCAAAGAGGTTCTATCGCTACTTAAGATGTTTTAAAGCATGAGATCAAAGGCTCCTTCTTGAAAAGGAAAGAATTTCTTATCATTTACACATTAGGGAAATCTACAAAACAGGCCATACATTGTATCTTTTAAAATAGTCTGTAAATCTTAATCCTTAGTTATCAACCTTGGTTTTTTGTGGGGTTTTTTTTGAGGGGGGAAAGAACCACAGGTTGAGGAATGTTAACTAATTTGTCTAGTCTCCCACATTCACAGCAAATGGAAACAGGGCTAAAATGTCGAAGTCTTCAATAAATTCAGGCTGCTTCCCAATGACAGCCTTTGAGCTCACAGGCTTTCAACAAACTCTGAAACAGACCCAAGGGAAAGCAGTGACACATGTCACCAAACTTCTTGTCACTCCTGAATATAATTCCATGTTGAAATCTAAGCCATGAATCCAGAGGACAGTTTTAGATTATACCTAAGTTTCCCCATTTCTTTTGCAAAAAGTAAGAAGGCACTATGCCTGCAATTTTGGCCAACTGACAGCAGGTGGCAGAAGATCCCGGGTAAGGGCACAGACTCCCACAAATGCATGAGGTGACTGAGGAGAGGCTGGAGCTACCTTAAGAAAAACAACATGGCCCCGGAGGAATCTTGCTTCTATTGAGGGATAATACACTAAACCAACAACATGAGCAAGTCCCTGTCATTTCTATGACAACATAAATACTGTTGAACACAAACAGACGGAGCCCCTTCAGTGATCACCCAAGACTTTCGAGGACACTTACTTTTTCACAATCTTGTAGCGCTTGGCCTCTGAGAAAGTTTCAAGCTGGAGAGACTCATGGGTGAGAAAAGCTACGGCCAAATGGAAGTAATTGTTCCACAGCTTCCCAGGGAGCATCAAACGGGCACAGCAAAAACAGAAAATCACACTAGTGAGGATCCAGAGAAGACACCCGCAACGTGGGAGAGTCGCGCTGTAAAAACCCCAACTAAAACCCACAGGACTCCTTGTTCCTTCTGGGGTTCCAATTATTCACTGCTGAAAGTTTTGAGACTTAATATTAAGCTTTGGAAAAACAATCCAAACTTTATTATTTTCTTTTCTTTCCCCTGGGGGCACAGGAGACGTACTGCCAAGAAATGTACCTATTTATAGCAGGTGGCTTGGCAGTATGTATCAAGAGCCCTCCAGTTCCTCCAAACCTTGAACTTGTAAATGCTTTCCTGAGTCCCTCCCACCCCCTTTGGCTAGTTAAAGTTTCAACCGAAGAAGGCCCTCACAGCTATTTAATGTAACAACAACAACAAAATAGAAACAACCTGAACGTTTTTAAGAAGGATTTATTTCTGACATCAGAGGCCAGCAGCGTAATGAACGACATTCGGCTACTAAAAATATGAAAAATGTTGGACATCACTGGAAAGAAGTCATAGGTTGTGGAAAAAGTAATGGAAGTAGACAAATGGGTCAGTAAAGAGTTACAGGGCTCGTTTCTGCTTTGGTTTGTCTGTGTACATGTATACGATATATCAGTTCATATATAAGCTTACGTAGCCTCCTCCAGTTATGACTTCCTCGCTTAAAGGTTTGAGATAAAAACAAAAAGCTCACAACTAGAAGAGCACATCAATCAAGAAAATGCTCCCTGAACTTAAATCCCCTCAAGAGCAGGGACCTGGTGTACCCTCACCAGGAACTGCTGGGTGCCACATAAATATCTTTTTATTTGTCCCATGAAGACGAAGCTACCGGTTACCTGGCTTTGTTTTGTTCTATTTTATTTTTGAACACAGGGTCTTATTATAGCCCTGGCTGACCTAGAACTCACTACGCTGACAGGCTTGCCCTGGACTCAGAGACCCACCTGCTTCTGCCTCTGCCTCCTGGGAGCTGGAGTTAAAGGTGTGCCCCACCACCTGGCTTGCAGATACTCACATAGCAGTGACAGTATGCTTACAAAACTACTTACACGTGCGCCCCTGTCTGTGTGGACAGAATCAACACAAAACCTTAACCAGGAAGGCAAGGACAGGAGAGGCTCCCTTAGCCGCAGCCTGGCTTCCTGAATTCTCAGGACCTGTGGTCTACTGTGGTCTGAAACCATCCTAGCCCACATTAACGTTCACTATTCTGTTGTAATTGTTCTACTGACTCTAGTTCACAGCACTTCATTATTCTGCTGTAATTGTTGTTTTACTGTTCACTGTCGCTGCTGTGCCAAAATGCACACGTTAAACATCACCATGGGTCCATCACCCATAGAGACACAGTACGAAGGCTCAGCACTGGCTGGAGACGCAGGCTTGCCACTGGTGCTCGTTGACTGAACCTCTGAGGGTCAGGCGTCTGTATTTTCACTTAGCTATACTTTCTATGACAGCATTTGCCCACATTTCCTTTTTCACAGCTGACGCAGCCTCCTTGCTACAAAGCATTCTTCCAGATGGGAGGGTGCTTACCTGAAGTTCAAAGCTTGCCTGGTCCATGAAACTCTTCGTGAGAACTTCAGCAAACTGGTTGATGGCACGGAGGAAAACTCTGGGGAGGAGAGAGCACATGAAGAAGGCAACCCTGTGTCCTGGAGATGATTCCCCACCTAGTCTGGACATGAAGCCGAGTGCTCCTGGGCTTGGCTGGGAAAGTCAGTATAGCGTAATGGTGTCTACAGAGCACAGTGTACAGGAGGAGACGGAGAAACTGTTTCTCTCAAGGTCTGTAAGAGCTTGAGGGCTATAGCACAAGTTAACCGAGGATGAAACAGAGACCGCACGTCCGGGCTCTTGAGCCCCAGAGCAGGTGGCTTGCACACTGCCCCGACACTTACCTTCACAGGTCAGTGTTCTCATGAAATTTTTCTTAAAGCTGCTGTGTAACTGGGAATCGACTTTCCGACTATCGGGACCATAGAAAGTTGACAGCGCTCATACTGATTTGGCTTAGGTGGCTCACTAGCACCATTCTAAAGCTATAACACCCTGCAATGCAGTATTATATACAGCCAGTTCATTTCCTGTCTATTTGACAAGCGTCCGTTGCTAGGTAACAATTCTAAGGTACGGAAATAGGTGCCATGCTCAAAACCTAAGCCCTGGTCTTAAGGATAGCACAGCCCAACAGTGGGTCCACTGCACTTAGACTTCTGCTTGCGTTCTATGTTAGGGTTTCCCAGAGACATAGGAAATCAGAAGGGAGAAAGAAAACAAACAAACAAACAAACAATAGCCATTTCAGGAAGGCTGTGTATTGGTACTGGAATGCAGTCCAGGATGGGAGTCCTGTGAGGAGAATTTTGAGTGCTTGTGTGAACACTCCAAGAAAATAGGACAAGAGTATTTCGACCTCAGTTTCTTCAAAACACAGAATCGTTCTTGGAATGTGCTTTTGTGCCCCCCCCCCCCCCCCGGGGTGTACTGGATGAGAGGGAGCTTGCTTTCGATTACTCATTACTGCTTGCTATTGTTATTCGACTAAATGTTTAACCTATCCTTTCTATGCTTTGCTTCTATGGAAAAACATGTTTTTGCCACATGCAGCTTGTCCTAGTTATTATAGGCAGCCTGAACTCATAAAATCTTTACTCATGTGATTTTTTTTTTTTTCTGAGACAAGGTTTCTCTGTGTAGCCTTAGCTGTCCCGGACTCTGTAGAACAGGCTGGCCTCAAACTCAACAGAGATCCACCAGCCTCTGCTTCCCTGAGCACTGCGATTACAGGTATGCACCATGGAGCCAGGCTATGGGACCTTTCTTAACCCTCAGAGTATGAAGTGTCTGAGGCTCTGAATGAAGCTGGCTATGAGTGAGACTTTAGTCATTAACAGGTAGGTCCCATTCTCTCAAGCTGTACTACTCTAGAGTGGTGACAGCTGGGGACAGAGTTTCCACTGGAGGTGATGTTTCAGAAGGACCCTGTGCCTGGAAGAATGCCTGACTTCCAGAGACGATGGAGAAGGCATGGCGGGCAGAGGAAGCAGTGTGAGAGAGAGAGGACACCAGGAACCAGAAGTCTGATGGGTGCACGGGACACATGCATAGGGAGGATGTGGCTGGAAAGGCAGGCAGGGCTTTGAAGATCAGCATGAGGGGTTCACAGGGAGCCACAGAGAGGACATGCAGGACTGATGGCCAGTGGGGATTAATGTGAGGATGGTGAGGAAACTAACCTATGCAAGCAGAGACAGCAAATGGGAAGGAATTAACAGTCCAGTAACAGGGAGTTTCCAAGTGCACACACTGGGGTCAGGAGTGGCGGAAGAACCTCTTTACAAGTGATTTACCGGCACGTCATGTATGCACAGCAGATGAGGGCATTCGAGGTCAAGCGCCCCCAGAATGGCCATGGGCTGTCTCACCTGCTCTGTGTCATATGCATGACCATCCAATCTTTGGCATACACATTCTTTCCAATTAGATCCTTAAACATAATGAAGGTTTCCATGAGGAAGTCCTGTGGAGAACAACAGAGGAATGATTTGGAAACGAGCTCCCTCACAGCCTTTCTTTCAGCAAGCGGACAGAAGGACACCAATGTTGGGATAACACATTGACAGTCCCATAGTTGTGCCCTTTCCCATAAAGTTATTACAAACAATGCATTCTTATATATAACTGTCGTGTAATTTGACCTAGCTTGTGTTTTGGTATCATGAGACATGATGTAATCTAAACTTGGCCTCCTGTGTCTGTTTCCCAAGTGTTGTGATTATTGGGGAGCAACAGCATCCATGGCCTATGAGTTATGTTTCACAGCATGATTCTCTAATAAAAAACAGAGACACAATATTATTTTACAGATGGTTCCATAAGGCTGAGAAAAACTAAATGGCCACAGAAAATAGGAAACAAGACTAAGGGACATAGATTCCATGTTTATAACCCTATCTCTTTAGTCCTCTGCTGTGTACTGTCTGAATATATCTCTTGAACTTCAAATGTGGTTAACAATCATTTTAATCAAAGCCTTTTGATTTCATGTGTATGGAGGTTTTGTCTGCGTGCATATCTGTACACTACATGTATGCCTGGTATCCATGGAGGTCAAAAGCTGGTGTGAGATCCCCTACAACTAGAGTTAGAGATGGTTGTGTGCTGTCATGTCGATGCTGGGAATCAAACCTGGGTCCTCTGCAAGGCCAATCAATATCCTCTCTTCAACCCCAAGTCATCAACTTGTTTTACAGATCTTAGTTCACATCTTCCTGACTAGTTAGAACAGAAGAAGAAAAGTGAAGAAAAGTGTCACAGAAGCAGGACAGGCTGTATCACAGTAGCTTGTGAGAACTCCAATAAGTAATAACACAAGCACACAGAACACAGAGTGGTAAAAATGGCTGGTCTCATCCCAAGGAGGATGTGGGCAAAAAGTAACTCAGAAATAGAATCGTCAGGCTAAAAAAACCAAAACTTAAAAGGTTTTGAAACCATTTTCGCTACTTAGTTAAATTTAGACTTTTTTCCACTGGGATTGCTGGAAAGAATATCTAGTGTTTACTTCTCAAACTCTGTGTATACAGTCCCATGAAGAAAAGGACACTGTAGTACTAGAAAAGACAGAATGGCCCCCTCAATCCATCCATCTATCAACTATCTACCTATCTCTCTCTATATATAATATATACATATATTGTGTGTATATATATATATATATATATATATATATATACACACATACATACATACATACATGATATATGTATATCATTAATTTTCAGACAGAGTCTTATGTAACCTAGACTGATGTTCAACCGTGCATGGTGCAAGGAACCAATACCACCTTAAGAGAGATATAAACTTTTCAGGGAAAAAAAAGATGTCTAAGTGCTTCAGAAGAGCCCACACTAAGTCCACACGCGACAATCATTTGGTGTGGGTGTTGAACTCTTATTTAAATTCTATCAGGCTGAAGTAGTCATCAGCTCTCCTTTTTGTGCCCTTACAGCCATTCTCACTGCGGTGGTTGGACAGGGAGCCTGAGTTCATGATGCTCAGCTTCAATTACTGGTTATTAAATGCAAGAAATCTTCAGATGGATCTTGCAGTACTCAGGAGATGAGGCAGGAGGATCATGAGTTTGAGGTCGTGCTGGGCTACTAGACAAGAACTGTCTCCACTCTCTCTCTCTCTCTCTCTCTCTCTCTCTCTCTCTCTCTCTCTCAGGTGCTGCCAAGACCTTGAGCAGGCAACTTACAATGATGTCCTGTCTGGTTTTGAAGGTGCTGATGTAGTGGCTGTAGTGGCCATCCTCCATCTGTCGTAAGATGGCGATCATGCAAGCCACAAAGCTGCCCTGCAAGGGAAGAAAGCACAGTCAAGGTTCCTTAGAGTAACTGATGAAGACAGACTTTGGGCATCGTGGATTTTGAGCTTTCTTAGCCACTGAGCTCTAGATACCAAGACACTTGGAACTGGAAACATTACTTCCAAAGGTCCAAAGGCATGTGCTTTGCTGCTTCAAGCACCTTCTAGTGTGAGGCAGGAAAACCTAGAACCTTGGGCATCCCACAAACAGCTGTGACTTTTGGAATCCTCTAGGTCTACAGCCCTGGTTCTCAGCCTTCTGAACGCTGCAACCCCTCAATACAGTTCCTCATGCTGTGGTGACCTCTCTAGCCATAAAATTACTCTCACTGCTACTTCGTAACTGTTATTATGAATATACTACTGTTATGAATCACAATGTAAATATCTGATATGCAGATGGTCTTAGGAGACCCCTGTGAAAGAGCTGTTGGACCCCAAAGGGGCCACAGGTTGAGAAATGCTAGTCTAGGTGTGTTAAGGATCTCAACCAGGTGACTACTTCATGGCTTCTGAGTTCCCAGTTGGGGCAGAGCTGAAGAGAAACTCTTAGGACAGTGTCTGGTGTACACAGATGAGTCGAATCTAAAGGCTGGAAGGTGGGAGAAGAACAGAAGGAAAACAGAAGGTGCCAGCCAAACATCTGTCAGGGACCATCTGAAGTGCCTGGGGTAGATTTAGATTTCTGAAGCATTTTGGATGTGGGGTTTAGGGGCTGGAGATGCTCAATCAGTAAAATCCATGCAAATAGTCCAAAATACCCCGAAACTCCAAATTCTGAAATTCCTTGGTCCCAAGTATTTCTGATAAGGGATACTTAACCTGCAGCAATGCTGAGGAGGAAGGAGTAGGAGGAGAATGGGAACCCCTGCATGCCATTTCTCTGACTCCTGAACCCTTTGGACAGTTACATCCAGTCTGTGAACCGCATGGAACTCCAAGAAAGGGATGGACAGCTCCGCGATGCCTGTAATGTCTACTTGTGAGGCCCGAGTTACTTGTTCAGGGTGTTCTTCCCTCAGCTACACAAACCTCGGTCACAGACCTCGTCTTCTAGCCACAGTACAAATGGACTACCTTTGCACTCATGTGATTACCAAGGCCACACAACTGTAAATGACTTTCCCACAGAGACGATAAAATATAGCCCCGCTTCGGAGGGAAGGAGACGCCACTCTACATGTCCCCCTGAATGTCTGTCTTAGACTCTTTACATCAACTGCTTATTTTTCCTCCCCGTAAAGCAGTGTAAACTGTATTAAGCTTTGGACATATTTTACAAATTATCCTACACTCTGCATTTATACAATAGTCAACTGCTATTTGTGTCTCTGGGCTCTTGCCTACTCTGGATTTTGAATTTGATCTCACTTTTGTTTAATTTGCAATACTTCTGGTCTGAATTAAACATTTCTTCCATACGGTTTTGGTCATTTTATTTCCCTTTTTATTTGTATTCTAGAGAAAAGGTTGCTGGTACCCAGGCTCATCTCCAACTCCCTATGTAACAGAGGATGATCTTAATCTCAGATCTTCCTGTCATCACCTCCCTAGTGCTGGGTGACAGGCATGGATAGCCATGTTGGTTGATTCAGTGCTGGGGATCAAACCCAGAACCGTGTGCCCACCAAGCCCACCTTCTCTCAACTGAGCTATGCTCCATCCTGTCTGTTCGTATTCTTTGTGAATTTAATTAAACATTATGTTATTACTGGCTTACAATAGTCTTTGTACAGTAAGTCTATCAGTGACTTTACATGTGGTGTGTGACCTTGACTTTACATACCTATTTTCAAATATAGGGGCCACATTTTTATCAGGAAAAAAAAAATCTAGTTTTTTTCCCCTCCTTTTTTAATATTTAGAAACTCAAGGATCCATTTCTTATAGGATCAGGTACATATCCATTTGTTTTCTTTAGGCTGCTCTGGCATTTAATTTTTCATATAGAAATCTTCATTTCATTTGACATTTACCGTGTAGGTATAGAACCAAATGAAAGACAAATAATTTTCTCCAAACAATTTATTTGCTTTTCAATTTATATTAATTCAAAAAGCTTCAGTGCCTTGACAGAAAGGTAAGGGGCTTATCATATAGTCAAAGTCCTACCTGTAAACTCCCTTGGTTTCATCTTGCACACACATACATACACACACACAAATACATATGTATACACACAGACACACACAATAAACACATACACGTATATAGACATGCACACATACTCGATTGTAGAAGTGTAACATGATTTTAATCATTCATTTACAATGTGACAAGTCATTACTTACACTTGACTGCTCATTCATCTGTACCTCATGTATTTTCCCCTCTCACGTTTGTGTGACTCAAGTGCATGAGAATTTTCCTTTAAATCTGTAAACGGTCGTTACCATGATGGAATGTCCATTGAACATGCTTATTTTTACACCGCCTAGTTAGTAAAGGGCAGGCCTATTAGCTTTTCAGCATACTTTCCCAAGTTTCAAAGAAATGCTCATCATTTCAGCTAAAAATGACTAGTATATAAAACCTGCCAGATGCCATTCTGGACACTGAGATGAACCCACAAACACACAATACTGCCTAGACCTTGGCCTGTTTGTTTCAAGTGTTCTCCAAAAACCCTTTTGCTTGGGGCACGCTGTCTGTGCCCCCAACTCTGTGCCGGGGGACAGAAAAACAACAAACAGCTATGGCTGTTAAAAAACCTTGTATCCTTGGGCTGGTGAGATGGCTCAGTAGGTAAAGGCACTTGCTGCCAAGACTGACAGCCTCAGATTGATCCTTGGGACTCACACAATGGGAGGAAAGAAATGACTCCTAAAGGTTGTTCTCTGATCTCCATACGTGCATCATGCATGGCACACGTGTGCCTTCTTCCACATACACATACACAAAATAAATAAGTGAAATTTAAAAAATAAACCCTGGGCCCCTGAGAACAGCTGGAAAACAAAGTCCTTCCAACAGGGATTACTCCTGTTTACCACATGATATAGAAATGGCTGCAAAGGGAACATGAAGCCAGAAGCTCAGCCACAGGAAGCTCAGACATGGAGAGGAAGCTCATTTTCTCGGAGAGCTCCAAGTTGACTGTCTCAACTTCACCAGCTAATTGCTGCTGGATGCTTGTGAGCCTCCTACTTCACGTAACCTTTGCTCGCTCTCTCAACTGGACCACTCCAGTCACCTCTGCTGGATGCTGTAACCTCTCGATGTGATGGTCTCTTGCTAGTTGTCTGATGCTGATTCTCACTCTCTATTTCTTGCTATTTATTCTTAATAAGGCAAACATTCAAGATCAAAAGTATGGCTATCTTAGGTCAGTCTTCGGACCGTATAGAACAGTCCTCTAATTAAGATCTATCCTCAGCTTTTGGTGCAATCATGACACCATTTAGTTTTCCATCATTATTCTGGTCTCAGTTTTGCCCTTTATTGACAACTAGGTATGATGGACAGGGCACTGGCCTTTCTAAAACTCACACTGATCACTATTTACTATTTATGGCATCTGCCTTTTTCCATCAACTAAAGGGGCCTCATGAACCAAGAAGCTCATACAGAAGCTGAGATACGCTTATCTGTTATAACTGTGATACAGGGGGCCTACACGGGTTCAGTGTGGAACCACCGGCAGAACAGGGTGAGACCACGCTCCCTCAGCGTGGGCTACCAGGAGAGACTCACGATGTGAGGAGACTGTCGGCTCATCCCAATCACGGTCCGGTTGATCCTTCTCAGCAGCCTCTCCATGATCAGCTGAATATGTGCTGATGTGGGGCCCTGCAGGAGAAGCACGGCTGTGACATCCCCAGCTAATGATGCTGAGCTGAGCAGATGCCCAGTACCCAGGACAGCCAGGCACAAGCACAGGAAGTGACAAAAAAGCACAAAGTTCTCACTGATTTTTTATAAGGGCAATACACACACACACACACACACACACACACACACACACACACACCAGAAAAAAAGACCACCCAAAAAAAAAAAAAATCAATCATTAAATTTATTGCTGAGCAGTAAATGTTTATGACTCCTTCTCAGGACAAATGTTAAAGCCCTAGAGGACCTCTGGAACGTAATTAAAGTTACAAGGGTGGGGCCCTGATCTGACGGGATTAGTGCCCTTGTTAGAAGAGACACCAAGGGGAATGTGTGCGTTTGCTCTTATGCTCTCTGTCTTTTGCTTACGAATTCATGGAGTAGAGACCACGAGAGCACACAGGGAGAGGACGGCCATCCACAAGCCTTAAAGAGTGTCCTCACCAGAGCCCAACCATGCTGACACCCTAACCTCAGACTTCCAGCTTCTAGGACTTCCAGGAAGTAAACTGCTGTTGTTTACGCCCTCCTACTCTGTGGTGTGGTACGGGGAATCATTGCTCTAGGACTCAATGTTCTAGCAGACACATGTGACTCTGAGCCATTGTTCCACTTCACGGACCTTCAGTTCTCTTCACTGTGAAAGCAGGAGGGTAACAGTGCTCCTACTGGACTCAACGGGGTGATCACCACACAGCATTAAACACATCTGCACACTCTGATTCCTTCCCTTCCCGTAGTTGATGTTACACTCGGCTTCAGGGTATCCATTTCTCCTTTGCCAGTGATATCAATGGCAGGCAGCTTCCTGGTTAGGGTTAAGAGGCTATAGGCTACTTGGCCCTCTCAGTGCTGGGACCCTGCCTGGCTTGAACCTGTACAGGCCTTGTATGTGTTGCCACAGGAACTTTTAAAAGAAAAAGGCTACGTATATGACATGCCTGGTCCCATCTTTTATTCGCTACCAAGTGCTTGGTTAGGAACCAAATTCCAAATCTCAGTCAGCACTACTGGAAAATGTTTTCAACGTTTCTGTAAGGATAAAAAGGGGAAGGATGATCTATCACCAATAAATATCAAATGAACTGTACAAAGAGTGCATGAATGACTGGGCTTATGGAAAGACAAGTTTCGGGCTTAATCAGGGAAAACTATGGCACGTTCACATGCTTCCGGGGCCAAGGCTGGCATGGAAGAAACACAGAAGCACCGAAAGGCATGGCAAGCTGGGGATTAGGTGGGCTGCTGAGCCCATGGCTGACCTAGTCCAGTAAAAGGTGGGGGTGAGACCTGTGGCCTTTGGCAGAGTAGACTCTAACGATACTGCTGAGAAGCACAGGCCAAAAAGCACCAGTGGTTTCCTGGCCTGTGGGAACCGTCAATGGACACAGAGTGTAGTTTGGGAAGAGGTTCTTTTTCTCCTGTACCACCAGTGTTCAAAAGGACATGCTCTGTGACAGTTCCCAGAATCTCCAGAGGGTCCTGCACACAAGACACAGGAAATCCAGGCAGCCTCAGCTCTGCTTTCCAAGAGGCGGGGCTGGGGGGCTAGCTCACAGAGAATACCAAAAATAAAAGCATTTCTAATGGGCTCCAGAGATGGTAACAATGTCAGAGAAGATAAAACCGCAACGCGGAAGCTCAAGAGGTCTCGGCGGGAAGATCACCTCAGTGGGTCTCAGCAGAAACTAGTTCTTTTCTTTCTTTAAGTTTTGGGTGGGCACACACAAGTGTGAGCATACATGTTTACCTGTTCGTGTGTGTGTGTGTGTGTATGTGTGTGTGTGTGTGTGGACGCCAGTGCCTTGCATTTTCTAGCTACTTTATTCGCTAGGTTAGGGTTTCCCATTGAATCTACAGATCCGATCACTATTTTGGGTAGACTGGTTGGCTAGTGAGTCCTGGGAGTATGCCCATCTCTGGATAACAGTGCTTGGGTTACATGTATGTATGTGCAACCATGCCCAGATTTTACATGTGTGCTAGGGAATCTAAATTCAGGTCGCCATGCTTGCACGGCAAGCTCTTTACCCACTGAGACATCTTCCCAGCCTGTGAACTTAGAGATTTATTTGCTTGTCTGGTTAGTTTTTGAAACGAGTGAGGTCTTTACCAAATATCCCTGGCTGGGCTGGAACTCACTAGGTAGATCAGTCCGACCTCAGCCTCAGAGATCTGCCTACCTTTGCCTCTTGAGTGCTGAGGTTAAAGTGTGCATTGCCACAGCTGACCAACTTGGAGTCTGTAAGAGCACTGCCAGTGACCTCAGTGCTAAGCCAATTAGGAAAATAGATCCCCTGAGGCACCCAAATGCAAAGTCTCTTTGCTTGTAGCTCAACCTAATGTGAGGCACATCGTGTTTAGTGAAAACAGACACAGCTTGCTCTATCACCTCAGTGCTCCTACACTGCCTGAGCTGGGGAAGGCCACAGAGTTTCCGCTGGGTGCAAAGGGACCAGCATAGATAGTCCCAGGCCATCGAGGATGACTGGACTCACCACATCCTTCCTGTCCAGCGCCTCTAGTATGTTGCTTAGAAGCTGTGAGCTCGCCTCATGGTCGGGTTTGCTCGAGTGGTCGTCCAGCTGGCCACTAAGCTGGTCTGTCAGGAGCGGCAGCAGCACCTCCCTGCACTCTAAGGAAGAACAGAAAATGGCTCACATGGCAGCTAACACACAACGTCCTCCGGACCCCTCAGCTCCCTCTGCAATTCTACTGCAGCCATCCCCATCTCCAGAGCAAACAGACTTACGCACGAAGCTCCAACCTTGTCCCTGGAGTTCATATATTAAAAAACTCCTACCACAGGCATGTGAGATGTGAGCATTGGCCACATTCTTACTTTTTTCAATGCTGGGGATTGATAGAAGGCCTCTCTCTCTATGGCTGGGATACAGACGTTTATACATATATACACACACGTATGTATGTATATATGTATGTATGTATTATGTGTGTGTGTGTGTACACGCTGCTTGGGTTCATGTTTACCAAATTTAAGCAGTGGGCCATGAAGGCTAGAAGAAACATCAGATCTCCTGGAGCTGGAGTTACAGATGGTTGTGAGCTGCCACGAGGGGCTGGGAACCGAACCTGGGTCCTCCACAAAAGCGGTAAGTGCTCTTGACTACTCAGCCATCTTTCCAGCCTACCCACTCCCTATTTTTGTCTTCTGGCTTTGTTGGTGCTAGGCATTCAAACCATGGCTTTATACATGACAGGCTCTACACCACCAACTCCTCAACAGTTTTGTCTGTTCTGTTGGTTTGGTTTTTCAAGACAGGGTTTCTCTGTGTAGCCTCGGCTGTCCTGGATTTGCTTTGAAGATCAGGCTGGCCTCAAACTCAGAGATCTGCCTGCCTCTGCTTCCCCCGAGTGCTGGGATTACAGGTGTATGTCATCACACCCAGCTTGTTTGTTTGTTTTTAAATGTTCCCATGATCACTACGTTACAGGAAATAGATAAAAAAACAGAGATAAACAACTGTATTCTCAGAAATGTTTCCACCTGTCAGAGTAAATGAATTCTCAAAGTCCTGTGAACGGCGAGCTTCCCTTGTCTGTTACTAGTATGTTCAGCTCCCATCTTTGTGGATGTGTGGTTTACGGTGACACCTGCTACATTCTGCTCCTGCCATCACCACAATGGTCCTTTATTAGGGTGATTCCAGGTTCTCTGGACATTACAAAAGTGACTGTAACCAGGAATTTTACTTCCTCCAACTCATATTATCTAACTGGAGACTGGCAAGATGGCTCCTGAATTTGATTCCCTGAACACGCGTAGTCGAAGGAGAGAACTGATTACAAGTTCATCTGACCTCTATATGTGTGGTAGTGTGCGTCTGCACACATACATACACACATACATACACACTCACCGTACACACACACAAGTAAAACGTAAAAGAACAAAATAAGATAAAAGGAAAAGAAATGTTTAGCTGGGTGTGGTAGTATGTGCTCACAATCCTAGCATTCAAGAGATCGACAGGAAGCGCGCTAGGGTTTGAGGTCAGCCGGGACTGCAAAGAGACACCTGTTTTAGCAAAAAGGAAAGAAACAATAGTAACTATCGGAGATACTAAACCTGGCTGGGAAGATGGCTCAGCAGTTAAAGAGTACATGCTGCTGTTCCCGAGGACCTGAGTTTGGTTCCCAGCACCCGCATCATGTGGCTCACACTGACCTGTCACTCCAGCTCTAGGGGATCAGACAGCTCTTCTGGCTGTCTTGGGCACTTGTGTACACACACACACACACACACACACACACACGGGGGTGGGGGTGGGAAGGAGATTAAACTGACTTCAGCCTCTTAAACTGCTTTCCCAGGAAATCCTTAAGAACCACAAAACTAGCTGGGCCGTGATGGCACACACCTTTAATTCCAGCACTCTGGAGGCAGGGGTAGCTGGATCTCTGAGTTTGAGGCCATCCCAATCTATAGAACAGTTTCAGGACAGCCAGGGCAAACAGAG